ATATTATAATCAATTTACTAGAAAACCATTAATAGGTGTCCATCATATGGCATGTATTTAATCTGTATGATCAAAAGTTCGTCTTTTATCATAATTGATACATATATTTAATGTCTAGGAAGCGCACGCTTTAACTGCACGTCTAACGCACTCTTCTCCCGAACCATTACCTTTCCCATTCCTTACTTTGTTAATATCTGGTGGTCATACTCTAACTTTAATCGCTCACGGAATTGGTCATTATACGCAACTTGGTACAACTATAGATGATTCTATAGGTGATGCTTTTGACAAAACCGCTCGGTTACTCAAAATCCCTTGGTTAAAAGGTCGTGGTGGTGGTGCTGGTGCTGCATTAGAACAATATGCTTCGAATGGTGATCCTGAAAAATATGTGGTTCCAATACCAATGAGGAAAGATGCGAAAAGGAAAAATGAAATGAATTATAGTTTTAGCGGGTTAAAAACTTCTATAAGAGATTTAGTTGAAAAGAATAAATTGAATCTGAATGATGAACGTGTGAAAAATGATTTAGCTGCAACATTTCAACGTGCTGCAATTATACATTTAGTTGATAAATTAGAATTGGCTTTTGAATGGTGTAGAAACAATGGTGTCTCTTTAACTGCGTTGGTTGCTAGTGGTGGTGTTGCAAGTAACAAAAGCATTCGATCAACGTAAGAATTTTCATAGTTCGAAAAATATGAATTAATTAATTAATATTGGTTCATTTTAATATTTATAGTCTGGAACAATTGGCGAACGAACGGCATAATATTCCATTAATTTGCCCACCTCCGCACTTATGCACCGATAATGGCATAATGATCGCTTGGACGGGTGTTGAGCGATTTCGTGCTGGATTGATTGATGAATATACTATTGATCATATACCAAAATGGCCTATTGCAAACAAATGTAAGTGTTTTTATAATAATTAAAAAAAAAAAAGGCGATGTGAATTTTGCGATTACATACGCAATAAAGACTAATAGCTTTATATCATGATAATAGTTTGATGGCATTTACATTCTACAATTAAAA